TGGGCATAAATCTTGTTTATGTGCAGGGGAGGGTATCACAGCTGGGTGTCAGCACTGTTCTTGGTCTCCCTTACTGGGAGGTGTGGGCTTTTTTTTTTAAAAAATAAAACTGCACATGATTTAAGATCACACTGCTACTAACAATAACTTAAGGTGTTGAAGGAGCTGCGTCTGGAATGCCTACCTGCCAAAGGTGTGTGTCAGGAGCTGGTACCTGGCAGCAGGCAGAACAGTTCAGGCCTGGGTGAAGGTGGGGAAAAAAATGAAAAAAAAAAAAAGGAACCTGCCTCTGCTTTAATGCTGATCATCATCTCTTGCAGTGCCCAGAGACTGAAGTTCAGGCTGAACCTCTACGAGCTGAAGGAAGGCAGGCAGATCAAACCGCAGACTTTTATGAGCATGGTTTCCAATCTGCTCTATGAGAGACGGTAACTGTCAAACAGCGGAGTCGCGCTTTATGTGCCAGTGAAGGCTGTGGTGGTTGGGCTGGTTCTAGAGAGCTGGGAGGCTGAGGAGGGCTCCTGTCACGACCTTGTGGTGTGGCAAAAGGAGACCATGTTACCTTCAACTTCCTTGCAAAAGCAGACCGAGTATTGTTAAAATAATCCTGTGAAAGCACAGCTTTTCTTCTCTTTACCTGTGCAGGGTTAACCTGAAAAGGTCCCCTCCCACCAAAAGCATCCGTGGGGTGACGGAACGGCTTTGAGGTGGCTGCCGTGCTCTAAGCCGTGTTGTTCTCCACAGGTTTGGACCTTACTACACCGAACCGGTCATCGCTGGGCTGGACCCCGTAACGCACGAACCTTTCATCTGCTCTCTAGACCTGATCGGCTGTCCCATGATAACCGATGACTTCGTGGTCAGCGGCACCTGCTCGGAGCAGATGTACGGCATGTGCGAGTCCCTCTGGGAGCCCGACATGGTGAGCGAGGCGGCCGGTTCTTGGATTCAGCCTCCTGCTGTTAACTGGAGAGCCCGAAATAACGGGGTGTTGGAGGAAAAGCTTTGTCCTTTGGTACTTCCTGAAGGAGAACCAAGGAGCTGTAGCTTTCAGCAGCCTGCAGGGGAAATCTCGCAGCATCTTGGAAGGATGCTTTGGGGTTTGAACGAAATCCGAGGACTTGGCGTTCGGTTTTTACGCCAACTAAAAATGCCTTCTGTTCCTCAGGAACCCGATCACCTCTTCGAAACAATCTCGCAGGCCATGTTGAATGCAGTGGACAGAGATGCCATATCTGGAATGGGTGTGGTAGTACACATCATGTAAGTGCTGCTCTCTTCCCCTACAGAACAGAGGCAGAAGTTCACAAGCTGTGCGTTACAGTCAGTTAAGGGCTTGGTTTCCAGGGTATCCCTGCTCCTGCTCCCTTCCAGCAGTGTCTGCAGCAACGCTTTGTCCATTCTCGGTGTTTTGTCTCTCCTGGCCGCTCTCTGTTGCAGTTTGTGGCTGTTGCCAGGACTGTGGGAGCCGCGGGTAATTAATGCTGGAGTCAGACTCTTGCTGCCTGGGGATCCCCTGGCTGTGTTCTGACGGTGTTTCGAGTGTGACTCCACGTACGAGAAGCGCTGGCCAAGAGGAAGCTCTTTGCCGCAGCTGGACGCAACATTAACTTCCAGACGCTGTGATCAAACTGATTTCTGAAGTGACTTATTTAGCTCGTGGAGCCGTTTCCCTGCAGCACCCCAGGTGCTGCTGCTGACTGAGCCCACAGGAGCTCCCCCGGCAGGGAGTGGCAGGAGAAGGGGGTTTATTCAGGTGATCCTGCCTGCACTAACAAACAAGCTACCGATGCACCCTGCAGCCTCCTAACAAAGGGACAGTCTACATGGAGGTATTAAATGAGGATTTACTAATCGCCTTCTCTTTTCCCCCTCTAGTGAAAAAGACAAGATCACCACCAGGACCCTGAAAGCTCGCATGGACTAACCCAGCACATCTGCGCGTGTGTTTCATGCCCTGGTCTGCTTGGAACTTTTTTTAAATAAAACTCTCTAGTGTAGTGAACTTTCCTTTTCCTGAGTCTGAACGCCGGGATTAAGTTCTCATCTCTAAAGCTATCAGAAGGAGCTTGGGTTTTACAGGGCAGCAGAGCTTACTTTTCTCGACACTAATCCCCCTCGGTACCCCCGCGTGCGGGAGCGACTGAGCTTCAGCTGCACCCAAGGAGTCGGCAGCATCTCCTTCACTATTAGATTTTTCCTATCAGATTTGATAGGAACTGGTACTTGATAAAAATCAGTTCTTACACACCCCCATTTTACAGGCACAGATAAAAAGGTGTGGTTAATGTAGGACTTAAAATGACCACGTACCTCGTGGAGGAACAGCTGACGCTTAGAGCACTTGAAAGAGGACAGCAGTAAGGAACAGATGTACACAAAGTTTTAATTTTATTTTTTCTCTGGTTGGAGACTCATCTTGTAACATGCATGCATTTCAAAACAGTAACAGTGTCTCATACTGCTCCTAGCAAACAGACAAGCACAGAGGACTTAAAGTTCCTATTTAAAAAACAGCAGTGAAAAAACCTAGAATGCCTTTTTTTTTTTTTTAATCAGTTTTAGATTAAACTTATTCACATTTTTTCAGTTGCACTGATTAGCCCTGCCCACCCTTGTGACCTGTGTGTAATTACGCTCACTTGACGCAGCTCCAGCCTGCCAACGTTCAGCTCAACAAAGACCAGCCCAGCTCCCGAGTGGTGAAAACTGAAACCACTAAAAACCCCTGCTGGACCGGCAGTTGGTTCCCCGAGCTTTGCCATCGCTATTACACACGACGTTTCAAAGAGCAAGGTCAATCACATAGTGGCTAATACGGACACTGACTGGCTCTGCAGAAGTAGGGGAGGTTGCCAGGCGAACCTGCGGACGGGGCGTTAAGACACAGCCTGGCGGGGGAAGAGGACACCTGTCCTGGTTTTGGAGCTGTTTTGTTCTTGGAGCTGTGGGCACGACCTGTCTCAGGTCAGGTGGCGCGAAACCGAGCTGCGGACGCGTGTGCCGACTTCTGACGAGGGTTGTACCACCTCGAGGTTAAACCCTTTGACCTCTGTGCAGCTCGAAGGGAGGCGTTTTCTAAAGACTGCATAGTAGTCACGGGACGGGGAGGCATCCGTCTGTCAAGCCCCTACCCCAAACACGGCCCAGAACTACAACGCAACCCGCCTTCCTTGGACTCGAGAGGTGACAGGCCCCGCTGCAGGCAGCTCTGGAAGGGAAAGCAGGAGTTTCCTCCCGGAAAAGGACGCAAGACTCAAGTGTTTCAGTGTTCGTCATAATCCGACTCAAAAACTAGGATTCTCGGGTGCAGGAGTACGGCCTCTACACCGGGAATCTGGAGTCACCTCCTACCCCACAAGTTCTCCCTGTGATGAATTTCACACACATGGGGTTTTTTGTTTTGAGAGATAAAAGCAGGTGGAATTGGAGGCGGGTACAAGACCAGGCCAGCCCCTGCTCCCGAGCGCTGACACGCTGGGTGGGCGCTGCCTCCAGAACACGAAGGTCCTCAGCGGTCACCCAGCACGTTCCCGAGCGGTTTGTTATTGCACTCTTGGAGCAGAGCAGCACCCAAACCGTGACTCTGCACTCTTGCCTTCCCTCTCCCGCTCCTATTTAATGCTGCAGCGGCTCTCACGGCGGGGAAGATCTAAGTTCAAGGTTCGGATTTAAAAAGTTCTTCAAAATTTTGACAGATCAGGCTCACGTTCAGAAATAAAGCCCCACCCTCAGCAGGGGCAGGACCACGGACCCTGCAGCTCATTTCTCACCCTGCCTTCGAGACACTGCACACTAAGGGTTGTTTGCTCTTGGGGTTTGGGCTTTTTTTTTTCCCCCCCCTCCTTTTTTTTTTTTTTTTTTGCTCCCAGGT